ACAAATTATGATACAAGTTTATCATAAACATTGAAAACTAGAATAATGTTCATGTGATAAAATGAAAAAGGTGAAAAATGTCAAGTATATAAATTAATTTCAACGAGACAAATTGCGATTAACGTTTATTTAAATACAGATAAACATAATGGATATACACATACATATAATAGATACACAATCACGATATATTATAAAGAAGCATTAAATAATTACATAACATGAAAAGTAAATTAGTTTCAATTTATACCATTTTTTTTTCTCTAATTAATTTATTATATAATCATATGTATATATTTATTTAAAGGGTAGCTTTCTCTTTTTTTTTGTTAGAAGATAAGAATAAAGTACGACAATTTATACATCTGTTTATAATATTCTCAAAGGGATTCTCAAATACATTCTCAAATTTTTATAAAATAAATTATATAAATAATTAATTTTTAAATATTAACATTAATATTAATAATAATAATATTATTAATTTATTATTATTTTTTATTAGGGTAGAGGGCCCCAAGGTGGCCAAGGCGAGAGAGAGAGAAAATGCGAGAAATATATGTACAATATATAAAAAAATATAAATTTTTTTTATTTACTAAAATTAAAAAAAAAATAATTTTTTTTCACCTGGAGAAAAATTTTACTTTCGGGATGTTGAGGACAGAGAAAGTGTCAAGTGAAAGTTGTATATATATATGTATATATATGTATATATATATATATACTACTGCTAACTGAAAATATACGTTTGTATTGATATAATGTTACAGATGCAAAACATCGTTGATTATTTCATCCCAAACAAAATGACTGTAACATGTATGTACATGTAATTCATGGGATCGCGTCGCACGCGATTTTTTTTTAAACGAGAAAAAGGAAAAAAAAATTTATCCAATCTTTATTTTAATGGATCATTTTTTTTATTTGCATTTAATTTATATATATCCAAAAGAAAATAAATCACAAGCAAAATAAAAGGTTTATTTTTTTTTCAATATTCAGGCTTCGTACTCGATACTTAATTTAAAAAAAAGTATCAAAAAAGTATCTTAAAGACAGAAAAAAAGTAGAAAAAAAAGTACCTATCGAAAAATTAAACTTGACGACTCAATTTTTTTTTATAATTTCTTAATTACATTCAAAATTAGAATAATTTTTTTTTAAATATTTAAATACTTATATTTATTTTGTCTACAGAAATTCAAAAATTTCAAATGATTTCAATGTAACGTATTTTTGAAATTTAACTATTTCTACAAAATTACAAAAGTAATTCTTTCAAAATTCAATCATTTTTCAATTCATTTTTTTTTGAAATTTATAAATAAAATTATTCAAAGTTTCAATCATTTTATTTCATTCAATTATAAATCAAATCTTATTTGAAAGTTCTACGAGAATGAAATTATTTAAATAATAAATAATTTATCTGAATAATTGAATATTTCTTAAATTTGAATTCTTATGAAGTATTTTATCAACATTTTTTAAAATAATTGAATTTTTACGAAGAATTGCATTAAAATTTTCAATTAATTAAATAATTTAATTAATTTAAAATTATGTAAAAAATAATTGAAATCCTGCGATGAGTTTTATTATTAATAAAAATAATTGAATTTTTGTCACCGAACTTTAATGAAGTTTTTAAAATAATTGCATTCTTGAGAAGAATTTATTAAAAAAATTTTTTAAAGAAATTATTTTTGTCAAGAAATTAAAAAATTTTATGAAAATTGTGTTAAATAATTGAATTTGTTGAAAAATTTTATATTATTTATGAAAATAATTGAATTCTTTAAAAAAAAATTCTTTATAATAATAATTGATTTGTTTTCAATATAATTTTAATAAAATTTTTTTTAAATAATTGAATTCTAAAATTAAGTCAAATTAAGAAATTGTTCGAAATTGAATAGCAATTTAAATATATATAAATAATATTTTATTAAAATGAAAATAAAATGAAAATATCGTTACATTTTACTGTTTTATTTAAAATTTAAATATATGTTCCAATTATTATTGTTAAAGAATTTGAGTAAAATGTGTTGTAATTTTTCTTCTCATATTTAATATTTACTGAAAAATCACAACTGGTAAAAGGCGTAAAAGTTTATTATATTTGACATTAAAAAAAATAAATTCATGTGAATATGTTTATTTGTAAGTGTGAGTGTCAAAATGCTGAAATAAGAGCCTGTCAAATATTATTATTTTAAAAACTTCAACAGACCTGCTATTAAGCCGTAAGCAAATATAAATTGCGTACTAAGAGGAAAGGTTGAACACAAAAATTCTTGTTTTTTTTCTCATGAAACTTCTAAATCTATGATTCATCACAATAATATTTATACTTCAATATATTGAAATTAATTCTTAGTAAAAATTGTGAATAATTGTGTATTTAAATACTTCATCTGAAAATTATTTTCCCCTTATTTTATTCCACTTTATTTAACGCTTTCTGCTTATTTTAATAATTTAGAACAAAAATATTATTGTAAATTGTAAAATGATTTTAATATAGTTTATTATAAATACAATAATAATTCATGCCGTCCTTTTACCGAAAGTGATATATATGGGCAAATAAAAATTAACATAAGTAAAATAATTTCGAAAATAACTAATACTATTTTAATGGAAAGAAATTTGTGTTTCTTTTTTTTCGTGGAAATACATTATAGAAAATTTTTGTGTATAAATTCCTTTTTAAAAAGAAAGTTTTATATTTACGCTACACAAAACTGTTAGTATAATATTGTAATAAAGTATTATATTAAATTACCGTGATTTTAAGTATTAATAAAATTTCAACTCAATGATCGTAATCGTAGGAACAGTTTCTAGACACTAAACCGTTAAGATAGAAGTTTTATTCTCTAAAAACAGGATTTTTTTTTGTCTCTAAAGGAAAATAAAATAATAATTAATACTAATTTAAGAATCGTTGTTTTTTCTTCAGTATTTTGCAATAGTAAAATTAATTTAAATTGAATATTTAATTTCTATTTATATTGTTTTTAATTATTTTTCTATTTTTCAACTTATTTTTTTGATTTCAAAATCAAAAACCGAAATTTTAAAACAGTAAATTAATTCAATTTAGATTCTAATTTAAAAATAATTAAATTCAGTTTTAAGACGATTAGGCCTTAGTTTCGTTCGTTTCGTTCTTAAAGAGGTTATGTCATCAAAAAAGGCGGGAATTCCCCAACGATCTCAACGGTTAAAATTGAGCGCGAATTTTTAAAATTCTTTTCAAAACAAGAATAATAAAAGTAATAAAAAGTTATAACAAATAATAAAAAAATATAAAAATAAAAAAAGAATAAAAAAAAAAAATAAGAAAAAAAGGAAAAAATAATAAAAAGAAGAAAAATAATGAAAATTAATTAAACAAATAACAAAATAAGTACAAATCTTAAAGAAAAGTATCTTTTTATAAAAGCAATGTATCAAAGTTGAAATAAAAAAAAAATGATATAAAATTGACATTTCACTGGTTTTTTTTTTACTAAATTATGATAATAACTAAATACAATTGAAAAAAAAGTAACAAATTTTCCTTATTTTTCTATTAAAATGTTATAAATGTAAATGCACATAATATATGACGCTAGTTGCAAGAAGGATGTTTTGTCTTTTATACAAACTTTTTTTTTTCTCCCAGCAATCATGAAAAATGATAAATACCGAGGTAAAAACAAATAATTACAGATATTCGATTTTTTTAAATACTCATTAATTTTTCTTTTTTCTTTTTTTTTTTTTTTGGTTTAAATCAATTGCAAAATGGAATATTAAAAAAAATTGTATTCTACATTTATGTGGATGTATAAATTCTCAACTTATCCTCTAAATTGAAAATCTCTTTTTAGTGCCAGATAGAAAATAATTAATTTAAAATTAATTAAAAGTAATAAATTTTTAAATGATTAAAAATAATAAATTTATAATTGACTAAAAATAAAAACAGATAAATATAAATAATTCAATAAAAATAAATGAAAATAATTGACTGAAAGTAATTAATTTAAAAATAATTAATTTAAAGTAATTGATTAAAAGTAATTAATTGAAAATAATCGATTAATAACAATTAATTTAAAATAATTCTTTCAAAATTATTAATTAAAATTATTAAGTAAAAATGATTGTTTAAAAATACATTATTATGAATAATTGAATAAAATTAATTCTCGAATTAATTGAAAATATTTGTTTAAAAATAGATTATTATAAATAATTGAATAAAATTAATTTAAAGTGTTTGCTTAAAAATAGATAAATATAAATAATTCCATAACAATAATTGACTCAAAGTAATTAATTGAAAATAATTCCTTAAAATTTATCAATTGATAATAATTGATTAAAAATATATTATTATAAACAATTGAATAAAATCAATTTTAAAAGAATGTACTAAAAATAAATAAATATAAATTGAAATTATATAAATAAAAAAAAAATTTTTTAACGTTTGTAAAATGAAGTAAACAAATAAATGAAAAAAGTGCAAAAAAGAAAATTCTTGCTAAGTGTTTATATTGTCATCCTGCATGTGTCATTTTTCTCAGCTTTGTTTATAATGATTCTATACATAAATTCTTTCTAAATTATAATTTATAGAACAGAAAAAATAAATTATTAGCAAAAATAATATTACTATTAGAAATATTAGAATATTTATAAATTTCTATCGACTTTTTTTTTCAGAAGTCAAACATTACTACACAACATTTCACCTGATTACTTTAAAACGTCCTACTTTTTTTTCCCGTAACCATCACCGTATCGGACTCTTAATGCATGAAAGTTTAAGACAATAATTTTTTTTCTAAATGTAAATTTTCATTAATTGCAAAAAAAAAAAGAAAAAATTACTACCAAAAATTAAAATAATAATTACAAATAATTAAAAATAATTTACATATAGAGAATAAATTTTTTTTTTTAAATTATACTACGTAAATAATAACACTCACCGGCTTGTTTATATAAATAATTTTTGTCACAAAATTCAGGTATAATTAAAGGTGTTTTGCTCAACGTGGCAAACAAGTTGTCCTGTGAGTGAAGCTGTAATGGAAGATTTATCAATTTTTCTCTCTTTCTTTCTTTCTTTCTTTCTTTCTTTTTTTTTTTTGATGATTAACAGTTTTTCACAATAAATGGAAATAAGAAAAGAAGAGGAATAAAAATTAAATATCGAATCACTGGGGAAACTCCACTTTTTTTTGGCATATATGAATATAAAAATAAAACATTTCCGAAAAAAGGAAAAAATAAATTTACCGAGATTTAAAATTTTATAATAATAATAAATTTTCCATTTAAAATGGAAAATTAAAAACTTTTGTGAAATTTTAATGACAAAAAACTTAAAAGTATTAATGAAAATATGAAAAATATTTGACTTCTGTACCATGTGTTCGTTTCGCGCGCGCGTGTATATCTATGCGACTCGTTCACTTTTGTGTTTCTTGCGTTCGTTGGATCACTTTCCTCTCACCAATAAAACGCCACAACTTGGGGCCCAACTTGGGCCTCACCTTGAAGAAGGGCAAGTCAAGTACCTTCGGTTATATTATTATTTTGCGTCGCGCACTTCGTCATTTATTTTTATTATTTTCTCTCTCTCTCTCTCTCTCTCTCTCTCTTGATTACATTCTTTATAAAAATTAATTTTAATTTTATTTTCAGAAAATAATTATTTTTTTATTCAAAGTTTATAGTAATAATAATTGTAATGGTAGCAAACAATATTAGTAGCAATAAGACTACGACAAATACAACTACTAGTAGTACTACTATTATTAATAGTATTATCACTACTAGTACTACTACTATTATTACTATTACTATTACTACTAATAGTACCACTACTAGTACTGATATTATTACTATTACTACTAATAGTACCACTACTAGTACTGATATTATTACTATTACTACTAATAGTACCACTACTAGTACTGTTACTATTATTACTATTACTACTGATAGTACCACTACTAGTACTGCTACTATTATTATTATTATTATTACTATTACTAGTATTGTTACTATTGTTACTACTACTATTAATATTAATAGTACTGCTACTTATTATAACTACTAATATTATTAATACTAATAGTATTAATTTATACTACTACTATTATTACTACTAATAGTATTATTACTAGTGTTGATAGTACTATTACTACTACTAGTACTGCTACTATTAGTACTACTACTACCACTATTACTATTACTATTTAGTATTATAATTAATAATATTAACGCTAATAATAATTATGATAATAATAAAAATTATTTTCAGGTCTTTTTATTATAAAATAATTAAAAAGCGTTTTTATGTAAAAAGCCAAAAATAATAATAATGATAAATTATTAACGTTATTTACTCACCCTTTGCTCAGTAGGGTTCGAGGATCCAATTACAAAACTCATATAAACTAATTACATAAATAATTTATAAAATTTAATTACAAAAACAATAGTAAAAATACTAACAATAACAATACAAACAATAAAAAGAATAATAATTATAATAATACATATAGGTATTATTATATTTAGTATTCCCTCATTTTATTTGTTTATTTATTCACTAAAAAAGTTATAATCTTGACAATAAAAATCTTGAGATTGGACTTTATAATATTATACAGATAAGATTACTTTGTAACTGAAATGAATCATTTTCTTTTTTTTTTTTTTTTTATAGCGAATGATTTTAAATTCTTTTAATTAATTTTAAAATTTAGCATATAATTATATACGTTGTGTATTTTTATATTATAAAGTATATATTTATTATCCTTTTTTTAAATAGTTATTATTTATTTTTATTTGTTTCAAAATAATCGGCGATACTTTTTAAATAAGAACTTTATTTCAACAAAAGAATTCTTTACAAAAAAAAAAAATGTTTAATAAAAAAGTGTTTTCCTACCTATGCAGAATCATTATTTGAAATTAATTTATCAGCAATGCTTTTATCTACAAACATCGAAAGTGTACGAGGTTCAAGAATCAGTTTAAAGATTGAGCCACAAGAGAATGTCGAAGTTACCTTGATTACCAAGAAGAAAATTTGAAATTTAAATTTTAATAAATTTTTATCGAAATTATCTTATTTGAACTACTTTGGGGAAAAAAAATTGTTCCCCTTTAATTCAGAAGACAAATTTTTCGAAAAAAATTGTTTTTTTCTTGAAGTTAGAAAGTCTACGTTGAAATGTTTGAGTCGTGAATTTGAAGATGGAGCTACGAGTGAGTTTTTACAGTTAAATTGAATAGACATTCTCTATTTTTAAAATTTTACCCCCCAAAAAAAATTCTATTAAACACCTTAAGGTCACGTGGGAGGAAAAATGATTTTTTAATTAACATCTCATTTAAAAGAATAACAAAAATTTAAAAAGAAATTAAATTATTTTAAATTTAAAAAGAAATTAAATTATTTTAAATTTAAAAAAGAAATTTAAAATATTTCAGATTCAAATCTTCTGAAAGTAATAAAGGATCCTAAAAGTGACAAATTTAATTAGTTAATGATAATTATAATTACTAAATAAATTAGTTAATAATAATAATAATAATAATAATAATAACTAAATAAATTAGTTAATAATAATGTATAATTATTTAATTAGTCAATTTTAAATTTTGCCAGCGCGGAATAATTTTCGAAACTTTCTCTAATTTAAATAAACATATATGTTTGATTTAAATAAACGCTGATACGTTTAAAATAAAATTTTCCGCTCCCAGAAAGAATTTTAATTGTTTTAACTGGAATTTTTGAACCAAAAAAATATTCAATGCAAATTGTATATATGCGATTGATTCAAAGAAAAAAGAAATTGGTTGTTTCAAATAAATTTTTTTCTCGAGTGTTATACATAAATATGGTGTATTATAGAGGGGAGAGCAGATCAAGTGTGTAATATCTTTAAACGATTATAGGGGAAATTCGATCGAGTGTTCAAATGTGACCAGGGAGGATGTAAGGGTCGAAGAATTGATGAGATGATTTATGAATTTGCTCTCGGAATATATACATATATATTATTATTCGTTGAGGACTATATTAAAAATAGATTTTGACACTATTAACATCAAAAGTCCACTGGATGCTTTTCATTTTAAAATTATTTCTTTTAATTTTCCTAAAAATAAAATCAGTGGAATTAAGAAAAAAAAAAAAAATTTCTTTAATCTTGTTTACTTAACTCAAGGGATTTTCAAAATATCTCGTTATTCTGGAAAAATTATTATCACAAGAAAATTAAATTTACATAAAATTTTCAAAATTCAACTTTCTTTCTTATTAATTTTCTATAATAACCGTAAAATTTCAAAATTTCCAGAAATTACCTTAACTTTCCTTAAATTTCCAGAAGTTACCGTTCTTCCCTATTCGATTTTCGATTATTCTAGAATATTCCTACAAAATTTCTCTGCTTTAGAGGATAAATTATACCGGTTTATTCAAAAAGTTTTCATAAATTACCCATGAATTTCCTCCTTCTTTGGGTAAATTTCCTATTTTTAAATTTAGTTAAAGTCTGTTGAGAAATCTTTCCTCTTCGTCAATTCACTAAAAAATCTTCATTCGAATTATTAGTTTCATAAGTTACCGATAAATTCCCTCCTTCATTGGATAAATTTCCTATTTTTAAATTTACTTAAAGTCTGTTAAGGAATGTTTCCTCGGTCAATTCACTAAATTTTTTAAACTTTAATTGGAAATATTACAAAAGTTTCATAAGTTACCGGTAAATTTTTCCCGTCTTTCGGTAACTTTGCAAACTATAATTTTAGTTTTTGTCAGTTCAGAAGTACTTTCACTTTCAATTCACTAAATTTTTAAACTTAATTAGGGAATATTTCAAAATTCCATAAATTCCCAATCTTGCGAGGTAATTTTTCCGAATAAAAAAAATGTCTATTCCTATTTTGGAAATTTTTTTATACTTTTACTTAAATTTCCAAAATTACTTAATTAATTAATTAAATTAATTACTAGTAATTGCAATAAAATTCTTTTTACATTTTATTATATTTTTTTTACTGTTTAAAAGTCTTTATTTATAATTAGAACGACAGAAGAGTAATAAAGTCAGAAAATGATATTTGTTGAACAAATTTATTATTAGCGGAAAGGTCAGCATATATGCAGTTAGCTGTACATAAACTGGACTGGTGGGGGTGAATCGCAATTTAGAAGCAAAATTTTAGTTCTAGCGGCTAACTATAGTGGAGCGCTGCGGTCAATTAGTGTGGAACCTGGAACTACAATCGAATGCATATATGCTCTCCTTTGGGTTTGATGGCGTTTTCCAAAAGTGGTGCCAACATCTATCAAAATTTTATTAGCTTGTGAACTTATACGTTACGGACTAACAAGATTTTTATAGATGTGTCACGACTTTTGGAAAACGCCATCAGAACGCTCAGCACATGTGCTGACCTGCATTTAATTATTTTTGCAGCTAGTGCTAAACTATCAGAGTCTACCATTCAAAAAATTAAAAGGTTGCCACATTTCTTATTGAATACTGATCAACAACAAAAAATCCAAATGTCAAAATACCGTTTTCGACAAGGACGGTAAAAAAAAAATTCTTTCATAGAACACGCGTGCAATGTACACATTTAAAGCATCAACGAACGGATATAGGACGGACGGCAAACTCCAGCCTGCCGGAGGACAGAAGACGAGGATTCTCGGGGGGCATTTCCTCCTGACAACCCATCCCGCCACCCATTTTAACATCCGGGGGGGGGGGGTGCAAGTGAGGAGTGGGTCATATAGGGGGATAGCGGGTTGCCGGTTTTAAGGGTGGCTCGTGGTGGTGGTGGTGGAGGTGGATGGAGAGTGGGCCGAGCTTAAGACGAAGCGTAATGACGCCCTGAATCAATATGTGGGGCCACTGAGATATGCATACGAACTAAGACAACCGCCGTACCGACGGTTTTCTCCAGGCGTCCGCGTCTCACTCTCTCTCTTACTCTCATTGAAAATCTTGCTCTTTCTTGCACGGCCGTTTCGTGAAGGGGCAGTGGAGAGTGTGGGGGCAACAGGAAGCTCTCGACTCTGAACAGGGGGTAAAAGAGGCCGGGGGGGATGGTAGAAGGGAAAAGCGGGTGTACAACTCCGAGGGTGGTGGTGAACGAAGAAAAGAGGAGGTGGAGAGAAATTAAAGACGAGGCAGGCACAAAAATAACGACCCGCGAGCGCAGACCTACCCCCCCCCCCTCTCTCTCTCTTGCCCCTTTCCACATTTCTTAACGTCCTTACACCCGCGTCGAGCCACCCCTCATCTATCCCCTTGGGTTTCTCCATCGGCTATGTACCTTCTCCCTCTTTTCTTTCTCACTCACTCTTATCTTTCTTTTTTTACTCTCTCACTCTCTTTCTTCCTCTTTCTCTCTTTCCTTCCCTCTCCTACACATTTCACTTCTGTTTTCTCTCTCCGTCCCTTGCACAGGTAGTTATCCTTCTCCTTCGTTTAAGAAGTAAAGCGAGATGAGGACGAAGGGAAAAATGAGTGGGGGTGGAAGGCGTAT